TCCCACACAGCAAAGACACTGCAGAGCCAAGACATCCTCCTTGCTCACGCTCCTGACCCTGTTGTTCTGCTTCACCTACCCTCTTCCTGACCATAAGAAAGCATTGAGATTCCAGAAGTTACCACAGATTTCCTCTGGTTTTCTGTCTGGGTTGTTGATTCTTGAATTCTTTAAAAGGCAATTTTGAAAATAATCATTTGCAATTTGGCATTCCATGAAGATGTTTCCAAAAAACCAATTCCTCTCTGTTACTGTCTGTACCCTGGGACAGCATAGCTGTACTTCTAAATTACTCTCCCTCCCCTCAGGGTCTTTATATCAACAACTTTGCCTTGCTATGTCTTATATAAAACAAAAATTGCTTCCTGACATCTGCCCAGCTGTTTTGTTGTTTTTTTTTTTTTCCTCTCTTTCCTCTCATGTACCATGCAGTCGTCTGACTTACCATTTGAGAATATGTCATTTAAAATTATCAGGAAAAGTATGGAAAATATCCATAGTACAAATTCCAGGGGCAAATTACATATTTGACTCAGAACTGTATTTTAAAAAAATAGCAGCTTAGGCTTTTTTTTTTTTTTTAAAAAAAAAGCAGCTATATAAAATTACTTTCTCATTGGTACTGTGAAAGGTGAATGTAAAATACAGGTTCCACATCAATTCACACCTTTCAGTAATCCTTTTTCTCAGATGTTCATATTTAGGTCTCTTACCTGATTATACCTGCCCTCTACTTTGGGGGGACTCATGGAGACTCATTCGTCTCAAACAATTCAAAGGAGAATACAAAGAAACAGGTTTTGATCTGAGAAAGTCACTGAGGAAAAAATACAAGAACTTTATTATAGTAAGATTTCTAGTTGCAACAGTTAATGTATTTAAGTAACCTAAGAAATTAAATATATATTTTTTCATGGAAAGTACTAGGACAAGAGAAGCCAGATACTGAACTTGACAGTGTATTTTTAAAGGAAAAAAATGGTCTTGTTGCCTTGTGGGAAAGCAATCTCTGAGTTGAAAAATCACTTCTGAGTACATGCTTAACAGGAAATACTTTTCACAAAGCTCTAGTGAAGCCACATTCTTAATATTATATCCTTAATAGATCCTAATGAAATACATGATAAAGTATGTAGCTTAAAGAGTGTACAATACAGCTGGGATAATGTTGGATTTCGAGATTAAATATTTCCACTTTTTAATTCTGGGAGATTTTAACTTGAAATTTAAAACTGTATGAGAACATTTCTGGCTTTTTATTATTTGCAAACAGAATTGCCATTAAAATTGTGTTTACTAGAACAAAGGAATATAAATTGCCATACACTCTGGGTAAATGTGTCTTCAGTGACAAAGAAACCTTGGTGTTAACTCTGGTTATGAAAAGTCAATGAACTTTAATGAAAATTTTCTAGAAGAGGTAAAAACTCTCTTGGGCTTGGAGTGATTTGTTCTGCTCTGATAATGCCTAGCTAGTCTAAAGCTGGTATACCTGGTTTGGAAAGCAAGCATCCTCAGTCAGCTGGATACATAGGTACATAGGTCCCTAAAGCATCCTTCTTCTCCTGGCTAGGATGTCTTTTTTCTATGGCAACCTCCATCAATCTGAAGGGCCATAGCAACTTCTTAGGTGACACTTGCTTGAACTCGCTTTATCAAACTTGGCACAAAACTAGTCTAGAGGGAAAGAAGCAGGTAAATACATGGCTTTAGGGTATCCTTGCACGCATGCCTGCTGGGCTGCACTTAACCATCTTTTAGCAAAGCCACACAAGAGGACCAAAAGGTTTAGATTACTCAAATACATGCTTGCAGCTTATGAGTGGCTGCAGACTGACTTCCACTGAAATTCAGGGGAATCAGTGCAACAAAGGACTGGTCCTTTTTGTGGTTTTGTTCCTTTTCTTATACATGGGAAATCTGACTCTGTGATCTTATTATTTTTACTATTAATCTTCTGAGGAAGAATGCTTGGCAGGGGAGCAGAGATGAGTCTTTTGTGCTGGGCCAAAGCATATTGATAATTAGAACACATTCCTGCGTTACATTCTTACAAGCTGCCATGACTGCAAGTAAGCTTTTTATTAAGGAGATAATGTAAAAAAACATAAAAATAATGCCTCTAATTGTGATGACAACCATTTTCCAACAACATATTTAACCCAAGAGAATTTTTCCTATCTCACTAACACTTAAGAGACATGTGTTGATCGTGGGGTGGTACCATGGACAATTTGTTTTCTCACAGTTTAAAACATTTAATGAGGCAAAACACAATCTGAGGGGAAGAAACAACCATTTCAAATCAGTCCTTGTGATGTGGAGGTGCTAAACAGAGGCCATTTTCTACACTCTACATCCTCAGGATGAGAAAGAGGTTGAATTACTTAGGCTAAATGACACTGTAAACAATAGCAACAGAATATTTTCCTACTTTATTTTAGTCCTTTGGAGCCCAGTCTCTTTTAAAATTAGAGAAGACTGACCTTGCAGGACAAGGATCCAGATTACACTCTTGAAGTTTTGGCTTTGGCTTGATATTTTCAGGATAATAGTAACAGTATTGATCTGCTACTACCCGGTTGCTTCTGAGATCAAAACATTCAGCAGATGTCAGTTGATAACCTGCAATACACAGTGGAAGAAATAATATGTGATGAGGTGTTCTTTCTGTACTGGTTCTTCTAAGTTCTGGTTTGGTAAAAAGTGAACAGAAAATATCAGTGGTTTTGGACATAACAGCTGCTGTTTTACAGACCAGATTGAAAACAACAACTTAAATCACATGTAGTAGGAAACAAAAGACAACTAGTATGGCCAAATAAAAATTCAGAAGCCTAAAGCAAAACGAAAAAACAAAGGCTGAGGTTTTTTGGTTGCCAAGACTCATATACTCAGTTTCAGTTCAGACGGTAAAGCTGCTGGTAGGGATGAAAGGAAACATCTTGTGATTCCAAAGTGGGCCCAAATCCTATCAGCCCTATGTTTGACAGCTGTATCATAAAATGCAGTCATGTGGATATTAAAATGTACTTTATGTACAGAGCCTGGTATGATGCTAAATATCTACAGGCTACTGCCAGGCTACTGCCACTGTTGCTACATCCCTCCCTTCATTTAGATGTAACTACTTTAATTTTCAGATCTTGCCCATTTTAAAGGTCCAAATCTCAGTGCAGTAGTTGGGACAGAGCCTGTATGTAGATGACTGTTTCTGGAATGCAGTGGTAATTCATTACCTCCTCCACAGGATGCTGAACAAGGAAAAAAATCAGTTTCCCTCCATCGGTGAATGATAGGCTGATAGAAGATAAACTGAACTGAACTGTCAGCAGCGCCAGCATAGCGGATCTGAAAAAGATGCAATGCCAAACAGTGAACCTGACATAAATTTTGGGAAGAAGCATTCTGCCACATGCATCTTGCGGCTTTGAGACATCTTGCAGCTATATGAACTACCAGAGATACTTTGCAATAGGAAAATGAAATGCACAAAACAGAGCATAGATTGGTGGCAAAATCTTGGCCACAAAACACAGTCAAATAAATTTCCAGGCATAATCAGTGGCATTTCTGACCATTCTGAGACTGTGTTCAGAAATAATGAATGTACCGCAAATGCCTGGTTAGTGCTACTGAATAATTTTATTGGGACAGAGGATACAGATCTTTATTCCATCAGAAAATCACCTACCACTACCTTCTGTCACTGACACATTGACATGGATTTTAGATCTTTAGTATTTCCCAAACATCTTCTGAGACCATGTATACTATATTACATAGTTCAGAGTAAAAAATGGGAGGCTGTTCTGTGAGAAATACAAAAGTATAAAAATTCTAATTCAAGACTTTTTTGTTTCTGAGGTGAGGTCTCCTTTTCATTCTTCTTTGTGGTACTGTCATTATTATAAGGCTGTCGTTCCGGTTACTTTATTTCGGCTGCAAAAATGCTCTTCTTAGTCATAGACACAGACCCCTGGCTGGAGCTAAGTGCATGTTCAGAAAACATGCTTTAGAGCCTACAAGTACTGCCAAATTTTAAGCCACCTAAGCTTCACTATGCTTCCAGTACTTTGTGTAGTGAATAGATTTCTCATGTAAACAAGAGTTTGTAGTGCAAGGAGTGTGTTGTGGTTTAACCCCCGCCGGCAACTAAGCACCATGCAGCCACTCAATCACTCCCGCTGCCCTGGTGGGATGTAGGAGAGAATTGGAGGAGTAAGAGTGAGAAAACTCCTGGGTTGAGATGAGAACAGTTTAATAATTGAAATAAAGTAAAATAGTAATGATAATAATAACAATAGAATAATTATAGTGGTAATAATATACAAAGCAAGTGATGCACAATGCAATTGCTCACCACCTGCTGACCAACACCCAAACAGTTCCCGAGCAGCAATCACTGCACCCCAGCCAACTCCCAGCAGCTTACATACTGAGCATGACGTCATATGGTATGGAATAGCCCTTTGGTCAGTTTGGGTCAGCTGTCATGGCTGTGGCCCCTCCCCGCTTCTTGCGCACCCGGCAGAGCATGGGACGCTGAAAAGTCCTTGACTAGTATAAACAGTACTTAGCAACAACTAAAACATCAGTGTGTTATCAACATTCTTCTCATACTAAATCCAAACCAGAGCACTATGCCAGTTACCAGGAAGAAAATTAACTATCCCAGCTGAAACCAGGACAGACTGCAATAAGAAAAGAGACCTTCACGCTGCTAAAGCAGCACCGCTTGCCCCTGGCCCAAGAAAAAATCCTTCCTGTTTGATACCTGTGCTAATTAGCACAGTTATGGGGACTTCAGAATTTCTGCAGGGCATCTCCTGTCCTTACCTCTAAGCCTTTGATGAACAGGTGGCAAGGGAAAAACAACAATGCTGCTACTAAAAACCTCTCCTAGATGAGCGTTTGTCCTAGAACATAATGTGTTGGTGTTGTTTGGGCATCTCTGCATCAGTAGCATGATGCTATCTCACAGGAGAGAAAACTGCCAAATCACAACAAGAAAAGGTGGACCCTTCTCCAAGTCAGTACCCTGCTCTCAGGAGCAATCCTTACTGCTCTTTTCCTCAGACAGCTTAAAATGTTTCAGCACTGCCTCCTTTTTCTTTTCCAATGTTTTGAACAAGTTGCCCTGTTTCGGAAACACCATTTTTCAATCTGCCTTTTCTCTCTTTCCAAACACCAAGAGACACTGTCAAAGAGTAGACTGTGAAACAGAAGCAAAAATATGACAAATTGAGCTGAACAGTATAATCTGGGTCCTTTGTTTTGTTTTTCCCTGTAGATGGACAGAAACATGATTACAAAGTGAAGTATATCTTGAAAAGAGGGAGGAAGGCAAAAATACTGCAGGATATGTTGATGGCTGTAAGAGATCTGGCCCACTGAGACTAAGGCTGCCCTTTTCTAATTAAACAGTGATGTGAATTCCCAACAGGAAAAAAAATACAGCTGTAGCAATACAGCTTCTTCAGCAAATGGGAGGCCTTTTGCACGGATTAATATCATTTGAGTTTGTGTGTCAGAAACAGGATATCTAATTCCTTGTGCAGAGATGGTGCATTAATCACACACTTCAGAAGGATCCTTCTGGGCTCATGAAAGCCTCATGCACTCGTGGGAAAAATGTTCTATTGTGCTGGAAGCCATTCGGGGAGGTCTCTGATCTGAATGTGCAGAAAAAGTGTTCACTGGGGAGAATTCTGCTCTTATTCTTTGTTTTTTAAGGATCATCAGTGATTCTTAAATGCAGAAGATCTACTCAGTGGAACGGTCTTCAGTAAATCATGAAGAACAGACCAAGAGCTCACAGAGAGCCTAGTATAAAAGGAAGGGGAGGAAAAATAGTTCACATTAAAAAAAAAAAAATCAGGAAGACAGAAGAGTTGTTCTCCCTGCAGACTATTCCTGTGTGTCTGCAGAATTATCTGTCTGTTTTGACACAGTGAAAAGGCAGAGGTACATCTTTTCCAGCCTAATGTGGAAGTCACTCATACAGCCATGATAAAAACATAGGTGGGAAAGAATTACAATGAGCCACAGCCATGAGCTAAAATGATACAACACAAACAAAAGAAAGAAGCAGGCACAGTATCATATATTTTTTAAGGAGTACTGTAAGCAGAAGAGGAACAATACATGGTGATTCCACACAGAAAAAAAGAATGTTTTGTTTGACAGTTTTTTAAAGCTAAGGTCTTGATCCAGGAGAAAACATCAGTGGCTGCTTGAGCCTTGCAAAAGTGAGACTTGATAGCCAAATGCTTTAAGAAATGTCCTGGTTTTGCTGCACAGGTCCAACTTCCACACATTGAAATACTGAGCTCTGGAGTATGGTGAAACTTTTTACCTTTGCAGTATTTGCAACACCCTGCTAGCTGTGAGAAATGCCAGAGCTTCAAAAAGAGATGGTCAATACTTGAGAATCTTTAGTTAGTCATCTAAATACCTGTGAGTTTTACATCCTTAGGTCACTGAACCAGAAAAAATGGCAATTTTTCACTGTTTGCAAATAAAATCCTATCTAAATTTATTAATAGCAGACAGCAGAAATACTCAGACCTTGCAGAGCACTCAGCCCTGCATTTGTGCATTGCAACCCCCTAGAGATCATCCTTGACTTCCTTTAGGTTTCAGGGGAGTTTGGAGTATTCTGAACATCGGAGCAGCCCTCACCACTTTGTAACACCCAGAAGGATATCACCAGTCTTATAAAGAGTTGGTTAAAATCAGACCCCTCAAACTATCCACCAAAAATTAGCTGTCTAGCCTACAGACACTAGCAACAGAGATAATCTTTTTTCTTGTAGAAAGACCTTGAAAAAAAATCATCGCTTGTACCCTGCTTTTTTAAATTGATTTTTTAAATGACTGTCTGGGATGGTGTAACAGAGGCACAAGCTGTCACTCAGGTGAAGATTGGGATTGATAAAATGCAGTATTGATTTTGGGGATATCCACAGAAAGCTGAATGAAAACAACAGACCTCAGAACACAAAAGAAGTGTAATCTTTTTTAATTTTTCTGATCTGTCCTGTGACTAAGAGACTGCAATATCTGACTCCACCTTTGTATTGTGTTGTATTTCCTATAGCCCTCAAATTTCATTAGTTCACATAAAAACAAAGAAGCAAAGTCCCCCAAAGCCCAATCCTTTCATGCTTTGTTTTGGCAGCATACACCTGAACCATTTGTTTATGTTCACTGAAGAACACATGGGCTGGCCTACAAAACTGCACTGAGTTTACCTGGGGGGTTGTGAAATTTAATTAGCAGTTTATAACCAGCAGTGATAACCAAACAATTATTAATTATTAATTATAGGGTTAAATAATGAAAAGTGTATTCAGTAAGGTGTTCTCATTTTATGAAATTGTGTGTGTTGGGGGAGGCTGTTTCGTGTATGTGTGTGTGTGTGTGTGTCTGTGTGTGTGTGTGTGTCTGTCAGTCAGTCAGTCAGTCAGTCAGTCAGACCGGGTACAGGGAAAGGGAATTATTATTGCATACTAACTTTTGTCTTGTGAAATTTGATCTGGTATATTGTGATGTAGCTCCATGCCACCATGTTTATTAAAAACGTTCTAATGGATTTTTCCACATTACTATTACAAAAGTTTTCTGCAAGTCCCAAATTCCAAATCATTGGGTTTGATTTATTAATGACAAGTTCAGTGTTGAAGTCTTCTCAGTAACATACAAAGAGACTGGGGATGATGGTGTGAAGAACTATCCTCATGTGGCATACAAAATTTTGTGCTTTTCATGTCAGTAACAACAAGGTTCTTGAATGATGTTTTCCTTTCTCTATTTAGAGTGCTTTAATATTGCTGTTTGTATGTAGTGACCACTTACATTGAAAAATAAGGAGGATGTGCAAGAGATTTGTTGCTGTTCATAATATGCTCATGAAGCAGAAATAGGAGCCAGACATTGTCATGAGAAAATTATTTTACTAGCTTGTTTAAAATAACATAAAATGTACAAAAAATTTAAATCATAAGAGCTGTTGAAGGCTTTCAAGCATACTGACTAACACAGGACTACACCATGACTCCTACAAGCTTGCATTTTAATTCCCTTGGAATGCTGAAGGAAGCTCTGCCTTTGAGCTCCAGGGAACATGTCTACTGTCCACTTGTGTATTTGTTCCCCTTGATTGTGATAGTCCTGTGTTGGAGCAACTTGTTTTTGGGGTTGTTTTTATATGGGAGATAGCTCCCTCTGTTGCTTCCCAATTCAGCCTCTAAATCAGCCAAAGAAATCACTGTGAAATTACATTATCACCATTTACATGCTTTACAAAACATTTCTGAATTGAACTTGCTCACCATGCCCCAATCTTG